CTACTTTACTTTGATTAGATACCTTATGTTAGGATCGATTGGCCATACTTCGGGTGTAGTATTATGTTAACCGGTTTAGTAGAGTTGCATGCTTATATGCTAAATACTTTTGTATGTTTGTATGCTATGTGTTGTATGCCTTGTTCATCCTTAACCGTAAGCATGATGTCCTTAGTCTAGGTTAGGCTAGCATTGTCTTAGACTTATGACCCGTATGGGCTGGATAGCCTTGACTTTCTGTCGACGTCGTTTAGATGACTTAGCTCCTTGTAGACTGGAGTAGCAGACTTGAATCTGATGGTTTGAGCCTTAGATTAGGCGTTATCGTTGCTTGCTGCACTTTGTATCTTCTCCCTCTAGTTCCGACGCGTTCTCAAAGGTTAGGTGCATCACTAAAGGTGTGGGATTGAGATATTATAGGCTTGGAGCCTTTTCTGTGATTTTGTAGAGTGGATGGCGTTCCACAGTGGTTGTTGTTGGATTGGATCCTATTGGAGATACCATCACCCCCGAGGTCGTTCTTTCTAGTTGGGCTGGGAGCGTATCGCTGGCTTGGTAGACTTGGTGTTATCGGCGATCTCCCCCGGACCTCTCTTTCTAGCTGGGCTGGGAGTGTGCTGCTGGCTGGGTGTCCCCGGATCATTTTTCTAGTTGGGCTCAGAGCTGACTGCATGGTAGGACGACTCGCGATTTCTACCTCCCTCACGGGTCCCTCTTTCTATTTGGGTTGGGAGTGGACTATTTGGTTGGGTGCCCCATAAGGTCACTCTTTCTAGCCGGGCTGGGAGTGCACTGCTGGCTGAGTAGAGTCTGATGGATTATCTTGGTTACTTTGGGCTGGGAGTCCGGTTTCCTTCTTTCTCAGTAGACTTAGCTATTCTGTGTACCTGTCGGGCTTATGGGGGTTTGTTCAGGTTTTACTTAAACTTGCACACGAGTGTACCTTCTGGGATTATGGGGTCCAGTTAGATTTAGTTTAGTTGTACTTAGTTTGTTTCTGGTATGCTCGTGTGCTTTCTTTTCATATCCTCTTAGATCTCTCTGTGTCTAGATTCTATCATTTCTTATTGTTTTTACCCTTTTTGCTCAGTCGGCCTGTGATGCTTACTGAGTACCTGTTGTTTTGGTACTCATGCTACACTCTACATCTACTTCGTGATGCAGGTCCCAGTACCAGTTACCAGCGGTGATTAGTTCTAGCCTTCTTTTGTCTATGATTCGGAGAAGAGGGCGAGCACTTGGCATTTTGGGTTTGTCTTGTCTTCTTCTTTTGTTTTAGCTAGTCTTGTTGCCTTTGAGACACGCTTTGTTATGGTCCACTTTTGGGACTTATACTCTTTATTAGATAGCTCTGTACTAGTGACTTCCAAGTTCTGGGAGAGTTTCTGTATATATTTATCTTGGTTTGCTTCCACCTTGTTGTCCTTGTTTAGATTATTGTTTGCGCTAGTTTCTGCTCTTTCGCTCATTGCTTGATTTCTGGGTTACAGGTTGGCTTATCTACTGGTAGGGGATAGTAGGTGCCATCATGATTCGAGAAATCGGGTCGTGACATCCTGTTTCCAAAAAATGGGTTTCAGGATAATCTCATATTTGGAAAAGACTTCTTGACTCAAGAACCTTTTGTGAAAAACATATTTTCCGAAAAATTGGTAATGGTAATGTATCTTTTTGGTGGGATAACTGGATTGGCTCATGACCCACTGCTCATCATTTTCCTGGCACTTACTATTCTAAAAAGGTCATGGTGCTTGATTTTATCACTAATGATGGTTGGAATTTTGCTAAGCTTAATAGTGTTCTACCTACTTATTTTGTTAGCCATATTGCTACACATTATGAGACACAATAATTACATGCCTATTTGGACTCCAAATCAAAATGGTTTTTTCACCACTAAATCTGCCTGGCAAGTACTGAGAAGCAGTAATACTACTACCCTTACTACTGCCAGAACTTGGCAAAAACAGGTTCCTCACAAGATTTCTTTTTTCATGCCCAGGTTGTTGTCCAATAAACTACCAATTGATGAAGCTCTTCAAAGATTCAAAGTTAATGGACCTTCAAAGTGCATCTGTTGTGAACAAGGATGCATAGAGAATGTGGATCACCTCTTCAAACAAGGAGAACTCGCTAATGCAGTTTGGAATTTCTTCTCAAATTCTTGTGGCATTAACAATAGACCAGACAGAAGAAACAACACTCTTATTACATGGTGGCTAAGCAACACAAAGAATAGAGTTCACTCAGTACTAATACACCGCCTTCCTTTATTCATTTGTTGGGAAATTTGGAAAGCCCGATGTAGTCATAAGTACGAGGAGATCAAAAGCCTTCCAAGCAGTTTTATCAATCATGTTATCTGTCAGATCAGAATGTTGCTCCTTTGTCAGTTCCCAAAAGTACATTACAATCAGCAATGGAGCAATACTGTAATACAAATTGAAAGACTGAAACCCAAGATTAACATCAAATGTCTTAGGTGGAGAAACCAAAACTTGGAAGATTCAAATTGAACACTGATGGATGCAGCAAAGGAAACCTAGGCAGCCCAGGTGGAGGAGGCATTCTTAGGGATGATGATAGTGATTTTTCTATCATGGCTTACTCAGACTACTATGGAGACTGTACTAATAATGTTGATGAATCCAACGCTATTCTTTAGGGAATGCAATGGTGCATCACTGATGGATACAAGAATGTTGACATAGAATCTGACTCCATGATCATTATTAACATGATCAATGATCACTCCAATGTCAACTGTCATATCGTTCATCTCATCGGTCAGATTAATTCTCTGAAGAGGAATGGTAATTATAAATTCCAGCATTGCTATAGAGAAGTAAATAACTTGGCAGATTACCTTGCTAATATGAGTGAAAAAAGAAGGAAACATACTTTCTTCACGCAGAATTCGACTATTCCCAACGAAGTCAAAAATTGGTTAAAGAATGACATTGAAGGAACACCAAATTTCAGAGGAAGTCCTTTACTTTTGATAATGGTTAATTTCTTTTGTTTTTTGGGACATGGAATTTGTGTATTTGACACTCTGTATCTATGCACTTTAGAGGTTACCATACTCTCATGACCAATCCCATGTACCATTGTATTGGGACTTTTTTGTACAAGGATGAGTTGTTCATCCTTCTTATTTCTCAAGGTGGTTTGGACAAAAATTCTACACACCGATTCTGTATTTTTACTAATTAATATTAATAGACAGATTAGACAATGTCTAATCTCCACCTTTTGTGGTTTTTAATAAAAAAAATCCAATTTCTTATTATCATGATGCATCAAGACTTTAACCTGATGTCTTACCCTTTTTTGGTGCGATATGACTTAAATACATCATCTTACGCTCAATCAATAACATAATAGACCAAAATTCAATAAAAACTCATTCTTGAGCCTTTAAACTATCTATTACTACCATCAGTTATTAACTTTAACATGGATAAGTAATGTGCATCTTGTATAGAATAAATAGGTTTTAAAATGGGGTAAGAACTTCCAGATATCATAAAATACTTTAACATGAAAATCTATATCGAAGCAACCTGTGTAACCTATATTTGCTGTCAAATTTGGACACATCAGTACATATGAAAAAATTAATACAATATGACTTACCACCGAAGATTATTCCAATTCTTGCTACTCATCTCGTTTCATGCATTCCTCTAGGACAAATTAGAGTCGTCTCGTGTATTCCTTTGGGATAAGTCAGGATAACGTGTTATGAAACTATATAAAACAATGAGAAGAAAATAGAGAGAAGACTTATTATTTCTCTTGAAGAGATGATCTTACCCTCTATATTTATAGGGGAAAATTGACTTGCTCCCAAAGTTAGAGTTCCTAATTTTTCTCTAATAAATAGACATTCACTATATTATAACATTTTCAAATTTCTCATGTTTGGTTGACTTAAATCTGTTATAAACTATTTTTCAAATGAACTTATTATTTTCCTCTTTTTTTAAAAAAAAAATGACTTCCATACATACAGTAAGGAAAAAAAATTCAAAACTTTCCTTAAATTAGAAAAATAGTTTTCATAACTTTTCTTAAATGTCACCATCCGAAATAGGTCCAGACCTAGGATCCGACTTCCGACCCCGAACCAAGACCCGAATTTTGACCTCTTGATCTCGATTCTCGACTCAAACCCACTCATTTTACAGAAATATATACTCTCGAAAAACATGAAAATGTTTTCTTTCATTCCAGAAAAATATAAGAAAATTGTTTTTTAATGCGGAGGAACTAATTCTGTGTTCACATAATAAGAAGCAATGGATAGTCTGACCCACATTATCCATTGAATTTACCCATTTTAATCCATATCAAATATGGGTTGGATCGAATATTTTATCCATTTTTACCTAACTAATTTTCGATCGGTCCATATCCTACTCAACCAACCCGTTTGTCACCCCTAGTACCACTACTTCTGACCAAGTGTGCTACAAAAGTATCAAGGAGTTTTTGCAGCCTATTTTGATTGATAGGAACTCTATTTATTGTCCATTCAAGCACTTAGTAATTGCACCAAGTATATATAGACTCAATGAAACTTTTTTCATTAAGTTCACTCTCTCTTGCAGTCAAGAAATGACATGCTCTTTTCCATCTCATGAGGTTTACCTCCTCTCCTTTCTATAGGATTAGTAATACAATCAAATTCACCCATAACCTAAATGGACTTTTGACCACTTGGTTTAGTCTTGACATATAGTCTAAAAGGACAACTTAACAATAAGAAGTATTAAAACATATGATGTTTCCAACATACAATTTATATCTAACATTCATAGGTCCTTGTTGTTAACATATATAGGCAACCATACATACATTTAAGATGAGATGTTGCATACTAAAACAAGTAAATAAAAAGCTAAAATATCATGAGTTTATGCTCTTTCAAATGAATCAAAGACAAAGGAACTAGATTTAAAAAAGTTTTTCTTTGTCATTAATTGATCAATCTAAATTTCAAAAGTCTTCTCCATTAAGAGCTTCATTAAGGAAAACATCCCATGCATCATTCTCATATGTTGTGTCAGCAAAGTATTCATTGCTTCCCATTGTATTCTCCTAATCATTGTGATAAAACATTTAAAGTGAGTATTTGAGTGAATAATATAATAAAAAATGAAATTATAAGCAAACAAATAAAGTTAATTAGTTGATAATAATAAGAATAGAGCTTTGAACTAACCTCCCTAGGATAGTTAAATCCATGAATATTAGGAGTTATTGCATCACTTTGAAATAAAGAATGTTCATTTTGTTGAATGATGTGATTGATGTTGTTGTTATTGCTCAAGTTACTATTCGAATTTGAATGGGCATACTCCAACCCTGATTCAGAGGGATTGTTCAAGTGTGTACCCGTAGTTGCTAGTGGACTCGAGACAGGCCTGAGTGAGAGAGAGATCTTAGGAATCATATCATGTTAAACAGGAAAAATACCAACATAAATATAATAATAATTTCATCTTGTATATAGTTTAGGTGCTTCAAATGTTATAATTCTAATGTCGATCATTCTTTTTCGAAACAAATAACATATTATATGGCGAACAATAATTAAATGCATAAATATCAAAAGAAACCTTGTAGAAGCACAAATATTTCTCTGGAAGTTCATGAGAGAGTTATTATAATTAGTACTTTCACCAAAAGTCAATTGTGCCTGCAAAATATATGACTTAGCTAGTTTAGTAGCGGGGGTGGGGGGGGGGGATCTAACAAAGAATAATATTTCAAGAATATTAATGTACCTGTGATTGTCCAAATATTTGTGTTGGACTCTGCTGGATATCTACTGTCATGTTTTGTTGTTGGCTCTATTGAGTGGATAAAAATAATTATATCAAAATTAAAAAAGAAATATCTCATCTCTTTAAGGAGAACTTAACATGAAATAATATTTTTCAAGAATATTAAAGTACCTGTGACTGTTCAAATGTTTGTGGTGGATTTTGTTGGACATCTACCATGGTGTATTGTTGATGCCTCTATTGTGCAGATAAAAATAATATAAATAAATAAAAATCTCATTTTTAAGGATATCTTAGTTACTGCATTTTAAAAAAGTGTTACCTGCAATGGGATATAAGGCGATGAGTTTTGATTTTGAGAAAATGGTATATTCCCACTCTGTGAAGAAGTTGCAAAGGAAGGGGCATATGTGTAATGGCTAGAACTGTTTGCTAGTCTCTTTCCTTTGTCCATCCAGTTTTGATACATACTCCCCTGGATACTTGAACTATAATAATAACGAAATAACAATTAAACAAAAAGGTAAAAGGAGAGAGATTTTTTGTAAAGAAATATCATGTGAAAATATTGATGACCTGTATGGATTAATCCAATTATTAGTATCAAACTGCTGAGGAGTTATTTGTTGTGCAGCAAAGTGAACATCCATATTTCCTTGTTTCTCCACTTCCACCTAATCATAATTTATTTGACATTAATTGAGGTTTTACATTATTTCTAAGAAAAATATTTATTTTCTTGAAAATTGTAAATTCGCATTATTCTTCAATGAAAAAAAAAATTGGTGAAAGAACAAACTTTTCTATCCCTGATTTTTTGGAGAGATAGTTGCAAGTTCTTCTCACACCAACAAAGCTGATGAAGAGGAGCCTCTTATTCTGGCCCTGGTTCGTAATCCCTACAAAATCATGTTGTTAGGCAAAAATATCGATAACTTTTTTTAATTTATTAGTATATTACATTTAGACAATTGAAATAGACTATACTTCAAATGTCTAAATAAAAATTTAAAGTGACGTCGATGTATTCAATCATGATGTTATAATTAAGAACTACAAAGAAAAACACTTGTGATACTAATTAAATGACCTTATATGAGCATCCACAATCTGCATTTCCAGTGTGCTCTTCGTGATTTGTAGCTCCAAATTCTGTATCATAGAATTTCACGTTAAAATGACTTTACCAACTTTCCTCATAGATACATAATGATTAATTGACATTTATTTATTAAGACTATTATGAACTTCTATTTCAATGTCTCACTTAACTAACAAACTACTAATTAGAATAGCAAGGATAGATTGAAAATATAAAAATAAATTATAAGAAAGACATCAGATTAAATTATGCTCACCTCAATCCTGTAGAAATTTAAGATACCAGCGGCAGGTTGAAACATCCAAAGGTAGCCATCATGAGACAATGTAATTCATTAGTGAGAGTCAATTTCACTTCATACAAAAGAAATCAAGTATGATGAAGGAACTAAGTAGTATCTAACATTTCGATAAAATAATATTGTACAACGCTTATATAACTCTGCTTCTGTGAGCTTATTCAAATTGTCAGTCTCAGCTACAAATAATGAAGGAGGTAATTTGTCAATCGGAAAGAACTTCTCTACCCTATATATAAGGTTGGAGTAAGATTACGTACTTAGTATCCTAGACCCTACTTATGGAAATACACTGAACTTGATTGTGATGGTGATGGTGATGGTGATGATAGTAATGGTCTAACACTTATATATATGGTCTTGTAAATAACATTGAATAGAACAAAACTAGAGAGAGACAATAAATTAATCAAAGAAAGACGTGAGAAAGAAAAGAGATACAAACTGCTTATCAAGAAAGTATAGCTTGCTAATATCTCCCCTGATATGGTTCAATTGCCTCAGTTTTGCCACTTTTTCCTTCATTTATACAACAAAAAATATATATTAATAAATGATGGGTAAAACTGATCCCAATAATTAAAATTATTACAACTCTATAAATTATACACTTTTCGACATAAGTCAAACTTACTGTCTTGAACAAATTATAACTAGTTAAAAATCATTTAGTATTTCATTAATTTTGAGGATGTCAGTTTCATAATTTTAATTATTACGCACTCCATTTTAATTTGTTTGTTTAATTTTTTCTTGACACGATTTAATAAAGTAATTAAGATTTTTGTAACTCATGATCTTAAACTAAAGACATTTGGAAATTAAAAGATATCAATAATCATTTAATTTTGAAGTAAGAAATATATGATGTTGGAAATTTAAAGTAAAGAGTAGCCAAAAAGGATTAAAAATGATTTTGATGAAGGATTTAATGTCCTACATCGGTGATTAATGGTCTCCGACAAGGTAATCCTCCTCTCTATGAACTAGAGTAGTATAATTGTTGATCAGTTTAGGAGATTGAACAAGTTATATGGTGTGAGTTAGTTAGAGTTGTTAGAAAGGTTCTAGAAGCTTCTATAGTTAGTTATGAAAGTAGTTACAATACTATAGTCTATAAATAGATATTAAACTACAATGTAAAAGCTAACTTTCAATGTAACAGAAAATTTATTGATTTCAATACAATGCTCTCTTCTCTTCTCTTCTCTTCTCCTCTGTTCTTCTCTCTGCAATTCTGCATATTCTCAATCTCCATTAATGGAGTTTTCATGGTATCAGAGCCTTTGATCAAAGACTAGTTCCGTTGTAAATCTTACCACTGGATTCTCAGAGTTCATCCTTGTTCAAAGGTGACTCAAAAGAAAGGATCAAAGGTCAAATTCAGCTACAATCTAGATTCTACAAATGACAATTGATTCAACTACTGAAGGTACAAGTGCTGGAATTACAACCATGGCATCATTTCCAGTAATCGACCATAATCACCCCCTATTTCTTCAACACACAGACACTCCAGGTAGCTCTTTGATCTCCCTACAATTAACTGGATCTGAGAACTATACACTTTGGAGTAGATCATTTAGGATTGGACTTGTAGGACGTAGCAAGTTAGGATTTGTTGATGGACGATTTCCTAAATCTATGTTTGAACCAGTGTTACATAATCATTGGGAAAAATGTAATGCTGTAGGTTTATCCTGGATAATGAATGTTGTTCGACCTGGACTTCAAAGTTCAGTTGTCTATGCATCTGATGCTCGAAAGGTATGGCTGGATCTGAGAGAAAGGTTCGATACTGTAAACAGATCTAGGATATTTCATTTACACAGAGAGATTCACACTCTCACTCAAGGAACAATGACCATTGCTGACTATTTCTCCAAACTAAGAGATCTCTGGGATGAGTATGATGCTCTCATGCCCTGTCCTTCATGTCCTTGTCCAGAATCAAGGATGTTTGGTGAACATTGTGAGTATCAGAGACTTCTTCAGTTTCTTATAGGTCTGAATGAATCCTATTCACCACCTAGAAGTCAAATCCTTATGATGAGTCATATTCCTACCTTGAACAAAGCATATGCTCTTCTTATGGATCAAGAGTGTCAGAGAAGTCTAGTGAATTCTAATTCAATTAACTCAGGACCTGGTGCAATTGAAGGCACAATCATGTACAATAATAAGAATTCAAACTCTTACATAGGTTCAAGTAACTTCAAAGGAGGCAGTTCTAGTGGAGGTTCTGGTAATATCTCAGGTGCAGGTTTATCTGGTAGTTACAACAGTAGTGGTGCAAGTTCATCTGGTAGTTACAAGAATAAGAGGCGTTTGTTGCAATGTGATCACTGTGGTTGCAGGGGTCACTCTAACGAACAATGCTACAAAATTGTTGGATATCCAACTGATTTTAAGTCAAAGATGAAAGGCCAGACTACTGGAGCTTATGCTAATCAGGTTGATACACCTCTTAACATTGAGTCAAGAGCTTCTTCTTCTGTAGCTCAACCTTTTGGAGGATTTATCACGCAGGATCAGTATCAACACATTCTCTAGCTATTGTCCAAGAATGGAGCTGATAGCACAGTAGAATCTTCAGCCAAGGTGGCCTTTGTAGATGTAGGTATACATACTTCTGCTCTATTGTGTTCATATGATGCAGGTGAATGGGTGGTAGACACTAGAGCTACTCATCACATTACCTCAAATCTTGACACATTAGACACTAGTACTGTATCTATTCCGGATGCACACAATAAGGTTTATTTGCCTAATGGTAACACTACTGTTGTTTCTCATATTGGTAGCACATGCCTGTTTCCAAATCAGCATGTATCCAATATATTATATCTACCTGACTTCAGAGTTAACTTGATGTCAGTGTCCAAGATCACTAAGGAGCTTAATTGCATGGTAGCATTTTATCCTGACTTCTGTGTGTTTCAGGATCTCTCAAATGGTCATGTGAAAGGGATTGGTAAGGAACAACATGGACTCTACATACTAAAAGGTGGACCAACTCAAGCTCCAAAGAAGTTGGTGAATAGTAGTAGGAGTCTTACTAAGTCAGCTACTGTACATGTTCCTTCTGACTCAGTTAATGTATGGCACAAGAGGTTAGGACATGCACCTCTTGACATAATAAAGAGACATGAGTGTTTTAGGTCTTTAGGAGGAAAAAATCACTCTCATTGTACAGTGTGTCATGTTGCTAAGCACACAAAACTTCCATTTCCATTAAGCTCTACTTTGTCTAGTTCTGTTTTTGAATTGTTGCACTGTGATATATGGGGACCCTACAGAGTTCCTACTTATAATGGCAAAAGGTTCTTTGTTACAGTTGTGGATGATTTTAGTAGAAACACTTGGATTTTTTTTAATAAATTCCAAAGCTGACACCATAGTTGTTCTTAAACAATTCCTTACTCAAGTTAATAATGTGTCCTCTACCAGTGTTAAAACTTTGAGAACAGACAATGGCTCTGAGTTTTTGAGTCACAAATTTCAGGCTGTCCTAAGTGACCTTGGTATTGTCCACCAATCCTCATGTGTGTATACTCCTCAACAGAATGGGGTAGTTGAGAGGAAACACAGGGCCATTCTAAATATAGCTAGGGCCCTCAGATTTCAGGCTGATATCCCCCTCAAGTATTGGGGTGAATGTGTTTCTACTGCTGTCTATATTTTGAACAGACCTATTTCAAAGTTACTGAGATTTCAGACTCCTTATGAGAAACTATATATGCATCCTCCATCATTGTCTTATCTCAGGGTGTTTGGGTGTTTGTGTTATGCTGCATGTCCTAGAGTATTGGACAAATTCTCCTCTAGGGCCATTTCTGTTGTGTTTATGGAATACTCTTCAACACAGAAAGGTTACATCTTATTTGATCTTCATGCTCATTATTTTTTTGTAAGCAAACATGTGATCTTCCATGAACACGTATTTCCTTTCAAGCATGCACAAGAATCCTCTAATCCTATATTTTCAGTTCTGGACATACTGACACCCCCTGCTGACACTGTATGTGTCCCACCAGCTGATGGTTGTGTCCCACCAACTGATAGTTCTGTCCATATTGATCCTTGTCCAGTGTCTCTAGTTCAGTCACCACATGTTGCTCCACATGTTCCCACCAGAAAGTTTAACAAAACCAGCAAGCCTCCTCTTTGGCTGCAAGATTTTGTTACTCACCCCAAAGGCAATACATGCTCATATCCTCTTGCTGATCAGCTTACCTATTCCCATCTCTCTCAGTCCTATCAACATGTCCTTCAAGCTTACCCAGCTTTGTGTGA